CAGGCACCGGGAGTCTCCTCCCCCGGCCCCTGGAGGAGCATCTTCTCCCTCTGACGTCATGACAGCAGCATCAGCTGTTCGCGCCGCCGCTCGCCTCTCCGCCGCCGATCGCCTCCTCCACAAAGGAAATATATGAGATCCCCTCCACTCCCTGACATGGCGACACAGGAGGTACAGCTGAACGAGACTCTGGCCCACCTCAAGACGGAGTCGGACACGCTGAAGTCCAAGCTGGAGGAGGAGAGAGCGAAGCTGCACGATGTCGAGCGTGAGTGCAGAAAATGGAGAGGCCGCGACTCCCATCTGCGTCCGCACCACCGCGGGGGCACACGGATCAAAATGTCTAGTTGTAACCTCAGGTTTTTTCCTAAGGGGGTCGAGTATGGTACAGATAGCCGGACTGGAGAAAGTCCATCCAGATTATTGATCCGATCGGCCGGATGTTACGAATGTGGAACAGGCTGTTTGTTGGCCCCCCCATTTTGTAGCCACCTGCTACCATCCCATCGTCTCTGTAGTGGTCGATTCGAGATGTCTTATATCGGTATACAGGGACTTGTAAGTTCCTCAATAAAAATGCCTAAAGGGTGTTTTTTAATGTGTGTTTTTGTGTCAGAAGATTAATCTTAGAATAATTTGATTTAGCGGTGATTTATTGTAGTTTAATCCTTATGGCTGCCAGTAATATTAGTCATGGGTGGACAGGAGAAGCGTTAACGTTGTGTTTTATGAGAGTGTGTTTGTGTGTTTGTGCACAGTGCATCAGGTGGCAGAGAAAGTGGAAGGACTGGGTCAGTTTGTCATGAAGACTCGCAGAACTCTGAAAGGACACGGAAACAAAGTGCTGTGCATGGACTGGTGCAAAGACAAGAGAAGAATCGTCAGCTCCTCACAGGTCACAAGCTGCATGCTCCTGCTAAACTTTTAAGTCTTTGACTGTCTTGTTTTCAGGCCACTGTAGAGTCAGTTTGTGGATGGACGAACATTTTCAATATTCTCTAATTGCTTAATCTCTGTATGCAGGATGGAAAAGTCATTGTGTGGGACGCTTTCACCACCAACAAGGTAATTTATTTACTTCCACATCAAGGTGTTTTGATGTAAGACAGGGAAGCCACAAACAACATACCAACTTAATTAAGCCAATCTAACAGCGACACAGATAAGAAAAAGGAAACTGCTGTTACGGAGCTCAAAACAAAAACGGAGGGATTAGAAAGGACCTGGACCAAATCAGGAGCCAAAAAAACCACACATCCAAATGAAAACTAAAAATAGACTTTACTTACCACAAACAGATGGAAAATCTCTGTAAACACTTGAAAACACACTCAGTGCCTTCATGCACTTACTTCTAGTCTCTCTCAGTCAAAGAGTCTTTTTTTCCCTTGCCGATATTTTTCCATCCAATCCTCATGCGCCCATTAGCTTTGATGTCTTCCAATTATTTAAGCTATTTGAGGATTTAACACTGTACATGAACATATAAAAAATGATGACAGTGGATGCTGGGGGGCCTTTGTACTCCAGATTTGACAGCTACGATTTAACACTGCCCTCACTGTTCCCCCCAAAACATTTACTTTCTAAGTTGTACTGACCTGCTTTAGACTAATCTTAATATATCGTTGATCCACTGTCCAGAAGCGTCCAGTTCTGTTTTCATTAGGACTAATGAATTCTCCCTCTGGTGGTCAGCCTCACGCTGCTTTGTGTTTTGATGTTTTTTTAGGAGCATGCTGTGACAATGCCCTGCACCTGGGTGATGGCCTGCGCCTACGCTCCATCTGGCTGCGCTGTCGCTTGTGGGTGAGTAGGTTTCCACCCATGCTGCTCAAAATATGTGTGTGATCTAGCTCTTTTTTATTTTTTTCTAAGCTGGGTTCATTTTCTGTCGCAGCGGCCTGGACAACAAATGCTCGGTGTATCCTCTTTCCTTGGACAAGAACGAAAACCTAGCTGCGAAGAAGAAGTCAGTGGCCATGCACACAAATTATCTGTCTGCTTGCAGCTTTACCAACTCAGACATGCAGGTGAGAACACCAAAAACACATTTACACCCAAACACAAAACTAACTTATCCACCTTGAAGTATCCAGCAAGTACCGTATACAGGATATGTTTTGTGAGAATGCTGACCACTGCAGCAGACCTTTTCTCCAGAGTTTTTATTAATCAGAAATCACTGCTCGCCACGCTCCTTTGGCAGAAGCCATTTGACTTTGTTAATAATTTACAGCCGCATTACTCCTGGTCACATGATGTTTGAGCCATTTCTAGTCACATGTAAAATGTATTACCATTCTTTAAAACTTGACAGTAGTCATTATTTCCCCTCTTATGGTTAAAGATCCTGACATCCAGCGGTGATGGAACATGTGCATTATGGGATGTTGAAAGTGGGCAGCTGTTGCAGAGTTTTCATGGACATGCAGCAGATGTACTCTGTCTGGATTTGGCCCCATCCGAGACTGGAAACACATTTGTTTCAGGGGTGAGGAAACTCTCCGTTGTGGCTTTATTCAGTATCTTTCAGATTTAAATATTTTCTCCTGTTTTGCTTGATTGTCGGTGCAGGGCTGTGATAAGAAGGCTAATGTGTGGGACATGCGCTCAGGCCAGTGCATTCAGTCCTTCGAAACTCACGAGTCCGACATAAACAGTGTGCGGTAAGTCACTGTTTTGTTTTTTTTTTCTGATCTAAATGTAGCATTATGTGTGGATTTTATGTTCAGTTGATTTTTTGAAAACTCTCTATGTACGTATGTGTGTATGAGAGAACGTTTGATACAGTGTTTTTTCCTCCATAGGTACTACCCCAGTGGAGATGCTTTTGCTTCTGGTTCTGATGACGCTACAGTACGTATGCAAACTTTCTTAACTGTATCATAGCATTTTGATGCAGCGTGAAACATTCTCAATTGTATGTAAATTAATCTAGAAAATCCCTCACTTGTGTTAAAGTGCCGCCTGTATGACTTGAGGGCAGACAGAGAAGTGGCTATTTATTCCAAAGAGAGCATCATATTTGGGGTCTCCAGTGTTGATTTCTCCCTAAGTGGTAAACATTTAAAAAAATATTCTCATCATCGATATTTTAAAAATGAAATTTAATGAAAATTAATCTCCCAAGCTTTAACAAAGATTTGTTTCCCCCTAGGCCGGCTACTATTTGGTGGCTACAATGACTACACCATAAATGTTTGGGATGTGCTGAAAGGAACACGAGTCTCTATTCTGTTTGGACATGAGAACCGTGTCAGCACACTGCGTGTCTCCCCTGATGGAACCGCCTTCTGCACAGGGTCCTGGGACCACACTCTTCGGGTATGAGATTTTTGCTATAACTGGCAGAACTGACATCTTTGCAAACTTCAGTAATGCATTGATAATAAGTGCTTTTGTTTTTCTTTTTTTCTCAGATTTGGGCCTAATCATCAAGACACAGAGGATTTATTAGTAGACAGACCTGCTGAAGGGACACTGATGTTTCTGTTTGCTAGAGTACAATCACAGATATAGACAGATAGATGACTCAGTTCTGGTTGTACCAGGACATATCAATAGCATTGTATATAGTCCTGTCTCCTGGTCAGGGTAGATCTACATATTTCCAAGAATAATTAAACCAAATGGCACACGTGTATTACAGTATGACTGAAAGAAAAGGGCACAGTGCAAATACTTGTGGTTACAATTTATGATGTTTAAAATTATATTGCAGAAAATATCAGTGGTAGTAACTTGCATTGGCCTAGGGTAGAAGTGCCACAATAAAGTGATGTAACGTGCTGCAGCCATTTAAAGAACAATATTTACATATTTGTGTTTTTTCCCCATGTCATAATGGAAAATACAAAGAGCAAAACAAATAAATAACTACAGAAAACAGACTAATTAGACTGAGAATGAGAGTTGTCTGTCTATGAGGATGATAGCAAAGAAGAGCTTGTAGAAAGTATTAGTCAGTCTGAACATAATCCTATATACAATTTGGACATGAAGAGGCACTGGCTTAAAATGCTTTTAAATTACCTATGAATTTAGAGGGAATCAAAGATGGGTCAAAATAGGTTGCATGCCCCCCTGAACCCAAGAGTAGTTTTAATTTCTTAACTGACATTGCACAATTATAATAAGGCGAAGAAAACACAATTACAGGCGGACCATTATGGTGTTTATATTTTACTCTGGTCATCGTAAAATATGGATTATCGGTCACGTTTGCTTCCAGCTGTTAAAGCCTCTTGAGTTGAGTAAATTCAGTTTATTGAACTGCTTAAATCGGGATCCCACATTAGCATTCTGACTAGTCACATACGAAAAATATCAGAATGTACTTTTGCCTGTGACTGTAATTTAATATTTGTTGTTATTATTCCACTGTAGTTCAATGTACAGATGCACAAGGGACTGTTAATCAAAATACTATAAACATAATAAAATGAATTTTGATTATCACAACTGCCTCTGGTGTTCTTTTTTAAAATAAATTCATAGTAATATCTTATCGAAATACGCGACAGCCCTGACAACGTTTTAGAAAGTTGTTAATAAAGTTTTTTGAACAAAGACGGAAATGACATCATCAAAACGCTTTGGTCAGTCTGTTGATTCAAAATAATGGCCGACCTGTGATGTTGTATTTTACTTAATGTAGCCTTTGTAATAGTTTAAATGGTACATTTGGGAGAGAATTTTCTTGAGATGGATAGGTGGTCTAATGATTGCATTTGAAAAGAGAAAATCCAGCTGTTAAGTGCCCCTTTTGCTGCTGAAATGAGCGATGTTGTGGAGAAGACGCTGACAGCTCTGCCGAGCCTCCTCTCTTTTGATACCCAGCCTGGGTCAGCAAGACTGTCTTCCAACTCTAAACTAGGAAACCTAATAAGAGGAATTACTGAACTGACGTCCAAACATGTGCGTATGTCTTTTCCAACTATCAAAACAAATGGAAACCTCGTAATTGGTTGTGACTTTAGCTTGCTAAGCTTCCTGGGCTAACTCAGAGAAGGTGGGGTTGCACGCAGCCCACTTTCTGTGAGCCGAATATAGAACAAATCATAAGGTGATTTACAAACAGCCCCGAATACAAGCGTTGTTATTTGTTTACCAAGTGCGTAAATTTAGCTCATTTTATGTCGGGACTTTCCCCCCCAGAGATCTGTTCTTAAACCGATGTTTAAGTGCTTGTGCTGAGCTCAGTTTAAAAAAAATCTATGGGTACATCGTTAATAAAACTTTTATTTCCAACGTTGATGGACCTTGACCATTAAATGGATGTTTCTATACGTTAGAGTACAAAAATATCTTAAGGTATCTGAAACATTTTTAGTTATCTTCCATAACTCACATTTTTATCAAATAAACTAAAAGCATTTCATATTTAGAGATTATAATTTATTATCAACTTATCAACATGTTATCAGCAGATTTTCGTTATCCAGAATGTTCTCAGGTTAACATGCAATTGATCAAATGGACCAGAAAGAAATGTGTGATTTAAGATAAAATTGGTTATACTTTCCTCACATTTTCTTTCCATCAGGAGGAGGAGAAACTTATTCAACGTGAGCTGTCATCCATCAAAGAACAGGTGTCCTCCCCCAACACAACCATGGTACTGTTTCTCTGGTTTTGCTCTTGTTTTTTTTCCAGCTGAAAACACCATGACTTTATAGCTGATCGCTTTTCTTTCTTTTTGTCAAATCTGATTAAGAGACAGATGAAGGAGCTTATGGTGAGAACAATCTACTGCGAGATGCTGGGCTACGAGGCTTCCTTCAGCTATATTCATGCTATCAAACTGGCTCAACAAGGCAATGCTTTGGAGAAGAGAGTTGGTGTGTGGTTGGCTCATTTTCCTTACCTTTTCGCATTTCTTTCAAGTATTGATACGAAGTTCTTGTGCATTCATGATCAGTGAGGTTGTAATTCTAATCATATCAATATTACTGAGCTGATACCAAGCATTAGTTCTCCAGGAGGGATTTTATTAGACTCAATATTAATTGGGCCTCATATGAATAAATCGGAATAAGGTCTTAAGAAATATGCATAGAACATTCCATGAAAACCAGCATAGTTTCTTAAAGATTAAAGCAAAAGAACTTCAATTTTTAGAACATGTGTTCAGGGAATTTGTCAAGTCCATTCGAAACAGTACAGATTCGTCTACAATACATGGATTTGTTGTTTATTATTGGAAAATTTAAGTTGTCTGTGATTTTTCAGGTTACCTTGCTGTTTCCTTGTTTCTGAATGAAAGCCACGAGCTTCTTCTTCTCCTGGTGAATACAGTGTTGAAGGTGAGTGTCATGTTTTACCTCATGAGTCATTTTTATCGGATGCAGATGCTTTTGTATTAGATGTTTAGTCCCGATGAACATTTTGGAAGCATTTACATTTCGGCTTCTTTGATCCAGCTGTTTTTATAGTGAACTGTTGTTGTGATAAGGCCTGACAATGCCGGTCAGGTGAAACTTGATCATATTTTGTGTTTGCAGGATCTTCAGAGCACAAACCTTCTTGAAGTGTGCATGGCTCTCACTGTTGTCAGCCAGATGTTCCCCAAAGATATGATACCTGCAATCCTCCCTTTGGTGGAGGAAAAGCTTAATCACCCCAAGTAAGAAATGCTCTTTTCCCTCTTTAGATCAGTTGCCTTCTCCAAAATGTTAAGCGGAACATGAAGAATAAATATGATTTCTGAGTATTTTGTCTTTGAAAATCTTGCAGAGAAATAATTCGCCGAAAAGCCGTCCTGGCTCTGTACAAGTTCTACCTGATTGCGCCAAATCAAGTTCAACACATCCACAACAAGTTTAGAAAAGCTCTGTGTGACAAGGACCCCGGTGTGATGTCAGCCTCTCTGCACATCTACTTCCAGCTGATCCAGGTAAGTTTTTGATGTGGACCATGGATGTAGGTTGATGAATTTCAAGGTAGGATTCCCGGCTCACATGTTTTTGTTATTACAGGAGAATCCAGATGCTTACAAGGACCTGACGTCAAGTTTTGTCACCATACTGAAACAGGTGGTGGGAGGAAAGCTTCCCATGGAATTTAACTATCACAGTGTTCCTTCTCCATGGGTTCAAATGCAACTCCTCAGAATACTGTCCTTGCTCGGGAAAAATGATCAGAGGTAAAAGTTTCTCACGCCATCCTCGGATGAACTTAGTGTCTGTAAAGTTTCCTGTAGGCTGAGTGTGTGTCTCCTCTGTGTTCTCAGCACAAGTGAGATGATGTATGAAGTCCTTGATGAGTCTTTGCGAAGAGCAGAGATGAACCACAATATCACATATGGTGCTTTTGCTTCTTAATTGCTGTCTAGCTGATATAAGCAATTTGATTCTGATCCCTCAGCTGCTTACCCATGTATCCCTTTGTTTCCAGCAATTCTGTATGAGTGTGTAAAATGTATTTACACAATTCATCCCACATCCGACCTTTTGGAAAAAGCTGCAAAATGCATTGGGAACTTTGTTTTGTCACGGAAGATAAACCTGAAGTATTTAGGTAAGAGCTTAGAAAACAACAACAATTTAAATAGATAGTTGTTTTATATGAATCAAAATTCCTGACTTTTATCCAATGTTGCTCTAGGCCTGAAGGCTCTCACCTATGTGGTGCAGCAGGATCCAAAACTGGCTCTGCAGCACCAGATGACCATCATAGAATGCCTCGATCACCCTGACCTTATCATCAAGCGGGAGGTGGGCACTATGTCCATAGTCTCTATTTTTATGGAACAGAACAAAGAGCTTCTTACCTTATTAAGACTTTTCTTTTTTCTTGTAGACGCTGGAGTTGCTCTTTCGAATCACTAATGCTCAGAATGTCACAGTGATCGTTGACAAGATGCTGGAGTTTCTACGCGTCAGCAAAGATGATTATACAACCATCGACCTGGTGGGGAAGGTGGCAGAACTGGCTGAAAAATATCCTTCCGGATGTCAGAAAGTTATTTTTTTCTCCTCTACAACACATGCACCACAATTTCAGAGTCTTGCTGACATTGAATTACCAGGAGTTTTTGAAACTGTAACTGCCTGCTGGATCTCCTCATGACCTATGTGGTTTATGCTAAACTTTTTCCTCATTTTTCTAACATTGTGCTGTATTTTTCATGCTTTGATGCTGTTATTGTTTATTTTTCCTATAAACCACTATACATATGCGCCAGACAATAAATGGTTCATCGAAACCATGAACACTGTATTTTCCGTTGGCGGAGACACGATGCAGCCGGACATCCCGAACAGCTTCCTTAAGCTGCTTTCTGAGGGTGAGTGTAACCACCAAAAGTTTGTTCCATTTCATTGTGAGGTGGGAATTTTACAGTATTTCATGCTCATGTTATGGATAGGATTTGACAGCGAGGAGGAGGACAGGAAGTTGAGGCTCTTTGCTGTGAATTCGTACGTTTCTCTGCTGCAAGGGGACTCCAGCAAGCTGCCTCAGCGTTTCCTCCAAGTCATCTGCTGGGTGAGTCCTGAGACTCGTGTTATCCTTAAACTAGTTTCATTCTGAGGAATTATGCTTCAAAGAAGAAGCCGCACAACAATTCACAAAATATCTGAGGAGTGATTTGATAATTTTGTACAACTCCATACATTAAAAAGATCAGATGAATGTACTGTGCATGTTTTTAATTTAGTGTGTCTTTGATTAACCTGAGAATGTTAAGGCAAGCCCTTTCATAGAAAGCAACCAGACAGCTCTCTGAACAAAGCTTTTTACCTGTTTTAGTTTTTACAAAATCAGACGAGGTTCTTCTCTGTGCGTACACCAGCTTCAACCGACACTGTAAGACGCCCGCCCCAAATAAAAAAGGCTGTCAAAAGCAAATGTGTTACTTAAAACAAGCGACAATTATCTGCAGACAGAATGAGAAATATAATTTATTTTTAGTTTATGGGACTTGATTTAATCTCACCTAAATATCAGTTTTTGAAGAGAAAGCCAGCAGGGCACTTTTTATAAATTAAAAAAAAAAATGCATAAAAAAACGTGATACGATAAAAACAATTGGTGAAATAGAAGAAAAACGTATTTGGCTAGGAGTGTCAGAGCCATGATGACAAAGGAGATAATCAACTAAAAAAAAAAGAGCAGTAGGTTTCATGTGCAGGCCGTTGATTTTACGTTTGTTAGAGTTTTGATCACGCTGCTGTGTCCAGGTGCTCGGGGAGTACTCTCATCTTCGGGAAGATCTTGACCCAGCTGTGGTCCTTAAGCTGCTGTCCAGGGTGCTGGACTTTAAGAACAGCAGCAGTGAAACTAAGAGCTGGGTCCTCATGGCAATGACCAAGCTCTGTCTGAGGGGAGCTGCTTCTTCTGTGGTTCAAAGTGTTTCCGAAGCATACGAGAGCTCCCTGGATACTGTTCTGAGACAAAGGGCACATGAGCTGCAGCACCTCAGCCAGAACTCTGAGCTACAAACCCGGCTGCTACCTCCATGTGAGCGCCTGGAGCCTGTGGAGGTAAACTGCGATGATCTTCAAGATTAAAGTGTATTTTTTTGTTCAGGGAAAAATCTAGACAAATAGATCTTCTAGAGTCTTAGATTTAGTTTGATGCCAGCTGCCATTTGGCAGGTTCAGGCTTCTTGTGTGACTACTGTGGGAAAATAAAATCTTAACTAATGATTCCTTGTTTCAAGTTCATGTAGTCACTTGTAAAAGACATTATGAAAATGAGGATGCACTCAGGAATGACGCTGGTATCTAGTTTGAAGCCTCATTAAAGGAGTGATTTGTTTGAACTGGTCCTGTGTTGTTTTCCAGGTGGATTCCTCGCTGTCCTTTCTGGATGGCTTTGTGTCAGAGGCGTTGGCCATGGGCGCGGCTCCTTACAAACCTCCTCATCAAAGGCAGGAGGAACTGTCTCGATCAAAAGGTAAAACCTGTTGAGACGTTCTGGCAGTGCGTTCTCCGTCCTGGATTTGTTTGGATTTGTCTACTTTGAGTTTTTTTTCCGTCTCAGTGCTGAGCGTGGAGCCCCGTGGCCTGTCCCTGCCCATCAGCCTGTCCTCCTGCAGCATCACAGACAGACAGTCTCCCACCCTGTTGTCCATGAGCTCTGGTCTGTCAGGGGGCAGCACCGACTTGTCCCACAAAGCCGGGTATGTAGACCCCATCCATGTGCAGGCATCTGCTGGCTGTTCTGAGTGTGTTTATGCTCCCACGCTGCTAAGTCCCTGTTTGGGTTTCAGCTCCACAGCGTTGAAGCTGGACGGTGTGAAGAGGGTGTGGGGGAGAGAGGGCTATCTGGTCCAGAAAGAGCCTATGGAGGAAGCCGCGCAGGTCGAGGTTCCCAGTCCCCTCCAGCCTCGCAGCCAGCAGGGCCAGGATGAGGGCTCACACAGCCAGACTCCATCTGCGACACCCACCCCTGAGTGTGAAGACAACAAACAGCAGCTGGCCTCCTCCCTTTTTGTCGGGCTTTCCTCTCAAAGCTCAGTGTATCTGGTGAGCATAATAACACGGGTCACCTCATGTAAATAAACGTTCTAAGAGCAGACACAGACGACCCTGTTAGAAGACTACACGTATTAATTAAACAAAAGAAAAGGATCCTCTACTGCAGATTTTCCCATATTCAGCCAAGGAGTTTGATAAAGTAAGCTCTTCATTTGAGAGTGAGTTGTACAACACAAAATCAGGTGTGAGTCGTCATGCAGTCCTGTATATATTCAATGCATTTTTTATAATGTTGTTGTTAGAGGGTCAGTTTTGAATATTTGCCAAAAAAAATGGAACTGTAGCCACTAAGCTTTTTCACATAAAACAAAGATGGCTTAGTGAAAAGGAAAAAAAGTGACCTTGTAATGCAGCATTACCACAAGTGTGTGTGCTACATCCTAAAGTTTTCCTTTCAACAGATGGGAAAAGAGTCCACACCCCAACGATTCGGAAGAAAAGCCAAATATTCAGCCGCGTCCAGCGAGCACATGACCCAAGCGTTGGTCTCCCCTTCCAGTGCCGTGGACACCTTGCTGTGTGATAGCCCGCTGAACTCTATAGCCCCCGCAGAACCACTCATTTCTTCACCTGAACAGACACTTCACTCCTCAGAGGACCCAACTACGGCTAATGGCTCCTGTGATCCACAAGTAGTGTTTGCTGACGGTGACACGAAGGAAAGCGGCCCTGCTGTCAGCACTGCAGCTGATCCTGTCCCCCATGGAGAGCCGGACGAACCAGAAGACTCGGATCTCACTCCTGATCTCCCTGCAGAGCTGTCTGGATTTTCTCGCTCAGAAATCACCCCTGTATTCACCAACCAAAGCCTGGGTCTCTCTGCCTGCCACGTGCAAAAAGAGGATTCTCTAGTGCTCGTCGTGTTCATTTCTAACTCCTCTGACGGCACCATTCAGCAAATGCTGCTGCAAGTCCAATGTGAGGACCTTGAGGTAATTCATACCGTAAACAACTAGAAAAGTTGTGCCCAGTTATGTTTTTTTAATTAGAGATTTAGCTCAATATTCTTTTTTCCAGATATCATGTTTGTGTGCCACGCCGGTGGAAGAAGTGCGTAGCGGCAGTGTGGCAGTGTGTCACTATTCCCTGTCTGTAAAGAGGCCCTCCGTTCACTTTGAACTGGTTGGGTTGGTTTCTTACCAGCTGCCTGTTGGGACGCCTCATTCTGCACAGTTTTCTTACAGACTTCCTCTAACAGGCTTCATAAGGTGAGAAGTGTTTCCTGTTATGTTTCAAGCAGCCTTCTTTAGGAAGACAAGTGTTTAAAGTTCACCCCTCCTGCAGACCTTTCACGGTGACCACCGAGGAATACGGGACAATGTGGCTGGCCTTCTCCCACGACACAAAGCAGAATCTGACCCTGATGAGTGATGACCGGGAGCCTCTCTCAGCCACTCTAAATGCCCTGAAGGAGAAACTTCAGGTTCAGGTCGTCGAAGTTATAGGTAAAGTGGCATTTATTTCTTGCTCAGACTTTTTTCAAGGCAATGCTCCAACTAGCACCTAACACTGGATCATTTCACTCCTCAGGTATGGAGGGTATTGTGGCTTGCCGCCTGCTCCAGGATCAGCCATGCCTCATGCACTGTCGCGTGCATGCCGGCATGCTGGCTGTGTGGCTGCGCTCTCCAGTCCCCGAGCTGCCCGACTGCCTGCTCTACCACTGTCAGAGAGCTTTACAGGAGCATTAACCCCCCCCCCCAGCAGCACCACCACTGACAACACTCAGCCACTACAGAGAGGTGCACAGGACAGAGCACCACTCCAGCCGCTGCCGCTTTCTGTGACTTTACTGTACAGCTGTTTCTTTAACTTAATTTAGAATTATTATTTCGCTGAATTGCAGATTATTGGGAAACATCGAAAGTCATGGCAAGTCTAAAGCTCAGGGCTGAAAGATGAGGTGTTTTTAGAGCAACTTTATTGTCTTAAAATAATTGGCCTCAGCTCGATGGCTGAAGCCATTTTTTCCTAGATTAAATGATGAAAGTTGACCTTTCCTTTGTACTTTCCTCCTCAAAGTCACTTAAAAAAACCTACATCTATGTCTACAGACTCTAACGGGACTTAAGATTTGCTTTCTGAATCAGAAAAACTAAATATAAATTTTCAGCAACACTTTAGATTTGGGCCTTTCGAGGGCATGGAATTAGAGGATTCGCTTAAATTCTTACTCTCTTATCTTATGTCTTATACATTTCTTTGTTATGGGAAAAGCACAGGACTGTGGATGTCGATGAAAGGGATTGATGAGCTATGGAAGTTATTACTGATATTTGCCTGGTTTTTAAAGCTTAAACTTACAGAAATGCTCCTGCCGAGAATTTTAAGCTTTCACTGATGAAGTTTTAGCACAGCAAAAATACGTTTACAATTTTTTTTTAACAGTTAGTTTTATGATCACACTAACATCCCTCATTTCTTTGTCTCATCTATACAAAAAGTAGCACCTGCATTGTTCATTTGTCAGAATGATGCTGTGCAGTTGATGCCTTCGCTGTGGCATAAATATCTATGCACTGGTGTTTTTTCTGGTTCGGTTCAGTTTCAGCTGGAATTCACTGGTCTTTGATTGATATATTTTTGTATCAGCTAAGTATTAAAAACATATTTATTTGTTTGTATTTTAAAATGTTTTGCTTTAACAATCAAAAAAGAAAATGTGTGCCGTTTGACACCTATTTGCCCAGTTTGATTTTTCTGGTGGTTCTTTCCTTATTTGTTCGATTCAGTCTGAAGGACGTTATTTGTTTGTTTTTTCAGTCTTACACGTGTACCGATTTAAAGCACAGCATTGTGTTAAAGTTCTGCCAACTCAATATTTAACCTTATGCCTTATGTTCTAATGCCAAGATGGCATGTTTCATTTGTGCCTGTGGTACAGAGATGAGTCCTTGTTTCTTGGAGTGCCTGTCACTACACTCTGGGATATTATGAATAAATCTGACATGTACAAATCAACCAAATTCTTAAGAATCACTCTATAAGAAAGACTTCTAATATAGAATTTCTGGATATTACTTTATGGTGTGGTGTTATTATAGGATTCTGATTTGGAGAAATATGTAGGCTTGGCATACTTCCGGCATACAATACAAGTTAAAGATGTAACATTTTCCTATATTTATTCAATACATTTCAACTTTCCATCTACAGCCACTTTAAAAAAAAAATCTCATCAGAGATGTGTGACTATTCCAGCCACTGTTTATGTCATAATGCTCCTAATATCACATATATTCTTTAAAAATGAACTTAAACAGAAAGTATATGATACAAATAAAAAACAACTGCACACTGTTATTTTGCTGCTATTATATATTCATTCCTCTCTAAAAGCTTTTAGTAAAGCTTTTCTTAAGCTCTAGGAAAAGTTGGCACTACGTTAAGACTTGTTTGTTACACAAGGCATTTCCTTCCTTATGCCTCTGTTGTAGCCAATGAGGCAGAAAAATACTCTTGTTCATTATCTGATAATACATTTTACCACCAATGTTAAAGAGGATATTATTAGACAAAACATTTAACTATTCATTTTAAGGGTTTGAACAGATTTCTGTTTTGGCATGTGAATATTTCCTGTTCAGGAGTTGGTACACTGTCACCTCTCCCTTTTCCCACCCTTTAACATGTGAGAGTGAAAGATTGTGTCAGAGGCCTTCACATGCTGCCTTCAGAGCTGAATGTGCTCTGAAGGTCTTGTTGTCTTGTTGTTCGGGGGATGAACCGCATGGTCAGGCTGTGCTCGTCTTCCACAGGCTGCTGGGACAGGTTGTTGGTCTGCTTGATGCTGCTGAGGGTGCAGCCTTGGCGGGGACACACCGTGTAGCGGGACAACAGTGTAATCAAGATGGCCTTCATCATCACCATGGCAATGTGTTTGCCCACGCAGGACCGAGGGCCGCAGCCAAAGGGCTGGAAGAAGCGACTGGGCACCTGCCAAGCAGAGGAAGTCAGGACTGATATGTGGTTCATTTTACCCCCACAGTCACATGATGTTCCACAGCATTAACACAACTTACAGTGTTGTCAAAGTTCGTCAGGCTGAACTCTTTGGGTTTCGGGAAGAATTCAGTCTTGTGCATGAGACCGATGTTGAGAATGATGTTGGTGCCTTTCTTGATCTTTGTGCCGTCAATGTTGTCGTCCTCCAGAGCTTTCCGCATTGTGAAGTCAACCACGGGGTGAAACCTCAGAGACTCGTTGATGAAACTTTCCAACACTTTAAGCCCGTCGAAATTGGTGTTTTCCACAGACTTTCCCCCTGTAAAGGAACGATTGATCTTAGTGAACCGAATCTGAGTGAATGTAATGTAACCGGGTACTCACTCAACACCGTGCTCATCTCCTCCACTATCTGCTGCTCCACATCTGGGTTCTGCTTCAGCAGCATCAGCATGAAGAAGAGGCTGATGGAAAGCGTATCGGGGGCAGCGATCACCATCTCCAGCACGCACTGCCTGACGTTATCTGCAGAGAGCTCTCCGTGGTTCTGCTCAAGAGAACAAAAAGGCTTCAGGACAACAGGACGGTGACTTTAAGACACATAAAGCCTCAAAAGAAAACGAACCTGGGCAAAGATGAGCTCTGTTGCAAAGTCAAAATGATCATCCAGCTTGTCAGTATCACTGATCATCTTCCTCTTAATTTGGAGCAGGTTCTCCATCACATCCTGCAGCTCTTGGCTGTTGGTACAGACGCTAAGATTAGACTGGAGAAGTGTTGGGCTACATGTTGAATTGTTGTGAGGTTTGGTGATCTTACGCTGCTCTCTTATGTTTAGCGTACAGCCATCCCATCTTGAAGAATATGTCAGGCTTTATAAGAACTGCTTGCCAGGTCTCAAAATAGTTATGGATTTTCATCAGCAGGTCCTTCTCTGAGTCATCAGGAAAAAAAGTTAATTGGGATCTGTTGGCTGCCATGGAGGACGGTTCAACATTTTACTAGTAAATAAATTATGCATTGAGCTATTTGTTTGGAAAGAAACATGCAGCTGACCATTGAGTGGAACCCTGAGGAACAGCCTGTTTGAGATGTCAACCACAATGGCTCTCAGGAGATTTAGGGCGTCCACGTGTCCAGATGTGTCGGTCATGAAATGCAGGCTGTCCAGGTGTTTGGCTGTGGAGCTCACACAGATTCCCACCGTCCTCTGAAGGCTGGGCCCGGTCAGAGCTGCCCCTCAAACATTTAGTATTTCAGTACAGCCACATCTTACTCATGAAACAAAGTACTGCTACAATATTGTGATATCTCACCTTTAGAAAAATACATCCTCACTTTTTTCCACAGTGGGACATCGCTGTTAAAAATGATACCTTTCCCTTCCATTCCTATACACTCGAGGCCTTTTTCGCTCCCAAATCTGGCCGTGTAGTGCGCACTCCTCAGCACATGATACACATCACACGACCTGCAGGAGACGCAAGGCTTTGGCTGGATATCATCCCATGTCCGATCTTTACTTTCATTTAAACAGGACCTACCTGCTTAGGATGAGAGTCTCCTCTCCATTAATCCACACCCGAACGATGCTGCCATACTTGTTGTTGTAATAGTTGCACGCTGTTCCAATCCCAGTCCAGATAAATCTGGTGTAGGTTAGAAGAGGACCAAGCCCTGCTAGGAAAGATGGACCTGACGGAGAGAAAATGTTTCATTTAGAGCCAAACGCGATCTCATTCTATTTGTCTGTGTCAGTTAAAAGCATCTGAAGTGGTCATAGTTTGCACACTGAGCTCTGGTTTGTTTGTACAAGTTATTCCGACAAAATCAGAAGCTGAAGTGTTTTACTGTACCTGGTATGCAGGACTGGTGTGTTCTGTTCCACGTGGTGATCAACAGAAACAACAGCAGCAGAAGAAGCAGGAGGGGGGAGACTTCAGACAAGCGGTTAACAACCAGGAGCCCGGCGGTGAGCATCTCCGACGGCATCACTACGTCTGTTCACCCAGTTCAGTCGAGCCGACCCACTGCTGGAGTTGCCTGCTCAAAGATAAAGTTTATGGGTCATGTTTGCCTACAAAAAAAGGAAGCTTATTCAATTGTTGCAATGTAAGAGCCTCGTGTCAGCTGCCTCTGTCTTCCTCTCCGACAATCCCGATAGTCCCTCAGTGCTTGGAATTGCAGCAAGGTAAGTTAAAAACAAAATATATCCAATCAACTCCTTAATGTGCAGTACACCAGTGAAGTGAGATACTTCCTAACCCACCCAAATTCAAGCTTTTTTTAACTCTCTGAGTTCCGTCAGTAGTTTTAGTTTTTGTCCAGTATTTTGTTTGGAGAAGAAATTTAGAAATTCAGCTGTTGAATTTTCTAGTGAATTTCTGTCTTACTTTTCTGTTCTTCAGTGTACTAGCAAAGTCTCCTGAAACTGAAAAATTAGATTTTTGCAAAAATATTACAAGTTGATCTCTAAAATGAATCATTTGAAGTTGTTTCCAGGTGCTTCTTATGAAAGATCAAATGGTGTTGCTTACCTCTGTCCTCTTCCTCCCCAGGGAAATAGAAGTGCAGGTCTCCCTGCGCCGGTTTTAAAGGTGATCGGTGCTATTCTTCCAAATAAATCCCAGTGGATTAAGTGTTTAGAAATCCCTGGTCAAGCCTTCACTCTGCTGGTTGCCTGGAAACACTGCCACTTTTGAGGTACAAGGACTATTATGGCAAAGTGTTGAACAGACAAGAGTGCACGTCGAAACCACAAATCGGCCTATAAAAGAACAAAGACGAGACTTGGAAAAAAATCATGAAAATGCAAAAAGCCCAGGTCTTTATTCAGTTGTCTACTGTTTTATTTTTTTCCCTCTAGATGGGTTTACTTCACATTAGTTTTCTTGGGTAAAAAGAAAACCCCACCATCCAATTCATCAACCCAGGAGACTTTTCAAGGGGAAATTAATTAGCTGGGTCAGGCTGACCCGTGTCAAAAGAAGCAGGCACTCACCCAGGAGTTCAACAAAGAGTAAACAGAGAATAGTAAAAAAAAAAGGAAAAAAGCATGAATCATTTTATGAATTGAGTCTAGTTTAATTACACTTAAAAACACCAGCTTGCATTGTGACAGGCTCAGTGTGTGTATTGCTCTATAGATGGAATTTTAAATAGAAAACACATTTCTTGATAATAGGTTGGTCTCATTGTGACCTGTTCTCAAACTCACAATCTATGAATAGCTGCCAGACTAAAGATGCTACCCTCTAATTTTGTGGGGGGCTGATGCAGTCGTTTGCATCTGAAACAGGTTTAAAAACTCACAGCATGCTTTACAACAAAAGCCTAAATGATTGGGCCTCTTTCCCAAAATGAGAAAACTTTGAAGATGCTTATGCACTTGCAGGAAAAGTGAAGGTTTATGTAACATGAATTTGGAGATGCGTAGTGACAAAATACCCCTTTTCAATAAAAAAGGATATTTTGACCCCCACACACACGCCCACAGAGTCATTTACTGAAAGCTCTCTGAAAGCTCTCTTGTAGGTTCAAACAAACGCGGCCCTTGTTCTCCAGTTATTTATTCCACTTTCATGTCAATTTCGGAGGGATGGGCGGGTGATAACATTGAAAAGTAGAAGAGTATTAGAAGAACTACACTGTCTGCAGGACAAGTCATACTTGAAATATGTCCTTTGGCTGCTTCTGGATCAGTCAAGTCCTCTGTTTCTTTGTTTCTCAGGCTCCTGTTGCGCAATCCATCATGTTTCCAGTACAGCCACACATGTTTAGTCCTCTCAGGCAGCTTGTGTGTAGTTTAGCTCTGACGTCTCATCTGTTGGCAGGTATTCAGATATGTGCCGCGCGTGGTTGTGCATTGCGGAGCTCCGATCACTCTCCGGCTGAGGTCTGAAGAACAGGGCTCAATCATGAAAGACACGCGTGGAAGTTCTCTCTTGTGGAAAATCTTGCCGGCGGGGAACTCCGCGCTGCTGCTCCTGGGCTTTGCAGGTTTAGTTTTCCTAATGCTTCAGCACAAAGAGCTGGCTGAGGAGGTGGCCAGGCTGCGTTCCCAAATCCAGGAGCTGTCACAGAGCTGCCGGCTGCAGGCTCAAATCCTGCCAGAGCAACTTGGAGGAGCGGGAGAGCTGAAGAGCTTCCACCGCAGCAGGCGGAATGAGGAGGGAGCCCCGGCACACAGCCCAGACCAGGACATGCTGATGCTGATGACTTACTCCGCAGTCCCTGTAAGACTCCCAAAGGCATGCATGTGAGCTATTTTGAGAGACTGTGTGATATCTTAGCTGGACAATAAATCTATGAATCTCAATCAAAAAGTAGAAGAAAGAATGAGTATTTGCTGTATTATTTGTTTCTTTAGCATTCCCTTTTGGGAGAAGAAGCATGCGTAGTTATTCAAAGAATCTGAGAGTCTGTTTAAGCAATCTAGATGTTTCCTGGATAAATACTTTAAGCAGTGGAGTGTGACCACTGCCCACTCCTCCCTCAACTGGCAGTCAGAAACAAAACTGGAATTCTTCAAAGGATGCTACTGTGTACTTTACTGGGGTGCACTGTCTGCAACCCGTCATTGTTTTATTATAAACTGATGTTTTACTTGATGGAATTACTCATTCTTTTAAAACTATTTGATAAGAACCTCAAAACGAGCTCTAAGATCACGAGGTATAGGCTGTTTAAACCAGATCATATTTAGTTTACTATATTTAAAAAAACAGCAAACACTGAGTTTTTTTTATTTTAATCCATCTTTTTCAAACTTGATTGTCTCACTGATTAGCTCTGAATAAGACATACAACAAAAAAGTGTTATTTTATACATGACTGGGTTCATTTGTCTTTGTGCTCATATGTACTTTAATGGAATTGAGAAGGTAACTCTTTTTTCTCCTTACTTCCAGGTCAAAGCCTTTGCTGATCTGTGTAATAGCTCCAAAGGAATTTGTTTAACAGGTACATGGCAAGAACATTTTCCAGTCCAGCTCTTTGTCTCTGTGAGGTGCTTCTGCTGCATTTGCTATATCAAAAATGATGCATTCTTTGTTTGTTTCTTTTCCAGGTCCACCTGGACCCCCAGGTAAAAGCGAGCATGTGAGTTTGCTGCTTAAGTTTTTTTAGTGTGTGCCTCTGGCATAACAACGTCCTTTTGTTTATCAGGTTTGCCCGGCAGACCTGGTTCACCAGGACCACAGGGCAGACGAGGAAAAAGAGGTGCGGAATGTATTAATGTCTTATAAATCTAATTACCCACTCTTGTGGAGTGATCTTGTCCAGATGAGCAGACCAAAACAGAAGAAGAAGCCCAGAAACAGAAGTTGTTCCAGGGTTTCGAACAGCCTTTGACTGTTCAGCTCAACAACATGATCATCCCACTCACTGTCTGTAAGGCTCTTTGTCTACAGATGCCACACAGCTATTTCCAGCTGCGTGGTGTAAATGTTTGCTGCAGCAGCTCAACATGAATTATGCCGGATTTTGCACTGGCCGGATTCCCGCGAAACAGCTCAGCTCAGTTCACATCAATTCTATCACGGCAAAAAAGATGAAAAGCATGTTCAGTCATGTTTCACAGCTAAGCAGTAACCTTAAGCTCTACATGTGCTGTTGTTTATAGCTCTAAAATACTGGTCTGACTAATGATAACCTGTAAGCATTTCCATAAAAAGTTGGCAACGTATGTAAAGAAATATAAACCGAACAATTTGGCATCAATTTAACACATGACTGACACAAAATAATTTTAAAGACACCACATCTTATGCTCGCTTTGCTTGCGTTTGTTTGTTTGTTTCATGGAACGCAAAACATCTCTTGACAAATCTGTTTTTAAAATGAGGAGATCAGTATCTGTGTGTAGTGTTAAAGCTTCTGTGATGAAGGATTGCAGATGAAACAGCTCAAGGCGTCCTTTTACTTCATGTTTTCAGTGAGCGGATGCTTTTTTTAAACTCAGTTCATTTGTTCATAGGTTTCCGCTTTATAAACCATTCGTGGGATTTTCTTTTTCTGGGGGGATTATATAGCTTTGCACACCTTTTGTGTTTTCTTGGGCTATTCATGTTTTTCATGCTGACGATTTCTTCAGCGCTATATGAAACAGTTGCCCCTGTTTCGCGTTTCCCCTCCAGGGTTTTTAAATTCATGAATAAGCAGTTAAGGTTTTGGATTTTTCACGTGTCTTTGTCCTGATTATCTTTCTGTATTAAGGTCTTCCCGGTCCACCTGGTGCATCCGGTCTTGGCTGTTGCTCCACTGAATTAACAAACAAAGTAACGGAGGAAAACCTTCATCGTACCAACTTGTCAAATGGTAGGATCTTTGGTACAGGGAAGCAATACCTTTCCTCAAAGCTTGACACCCATAAAGCCATACACAATGTACTTTTTCTTTTTAAATGTATTGTTTGCTGGATTAAACTGATGAGTCAGACTCTGAGCTATCAGATGAAAAGACATTTTGAAAAAACAGTCATCCTTTACTTCCACAGAGAAGAAAAAAAGCCAAAAACCATCAACAAACAAATTATGGCATGAAAACAGTACAATATTTGCTCATTTATTTGTTCAAAGGGCAAAATATATAAAACACAAACATATATATTAAGAGCTGATGATTCCCCAAAGGAAGAACAAACTCCCTTCAAAGGGATCAGAATAGTTGTGATCCTGAAAACATCCACTATGAGTCATGAACAGGAAAACCTCAATTATGAAGTCTGTTCCCAAGATTGTTTTGATCTTAACTTTTGGCATTCAGCATGAGCACTATATGTGTGTTTCTGATCACAGAACCAACAACAGCCCGTCCCGAGCATGAAAGGGATACTTTAACTGTCACCAACACAATGAAGCATCCAGACACAAAAATGGACTCTGGTTTGTAACCACTGATAGAAATATCTTAAGAATAATAATTGATATGCTAAAAAAGGTAAAAAAGCTAAACTGAACCCTTCTGATTTTTCAGAGTCTTCATTTTCTCATCCAGATTCAAGTTATGTCTCACTAGATCATACCAACAAGGGGAATGTCACAGAGACTCCATTTCAGTCATCAGCAGGTATGAAATGCTGTGCTTTGAGCTGTCATTTGGTCTCCTGTTTCAGAATTAGATTGTGTGTGGCATATTGTCTTGTCTCTTGCTACAGTCCTAGGTGGTGCAGTTTCAGATGGCAGCAGTGATGTCTTCAGCGACAGAAAAAATGTCACAGAGAGCACGATGATGGACGGTAAACCAACTGTGATATTCTGTCCCGTGTTTGCAGTCAGTATTCTTTCATTCCCCAAATTGGTGAAGCTATACACAAACCAGAAATCTGTTATGGAAAAAATGTAAGAGAAAGGTTCTGACTTTAAACTGAGACTTCCACTTGACCCATGTGGCTTTAAAGGAAGTAGTGACTGCACCAGAATGCTGCTCAACAATTGGTGTGACACACTATTATTTCCAATCATGTTGTTTCTGTTTGTATCGCCTCGTCCAGACTACAGACACAATACCTGGAAGGATTCTCACTCAGATGGTATGACAGAAACATCAGTTAACTGGTCAACAGGTTTGGTTTTGATCTTAGTTTTGACATGATTGCACATACAGATTCGATTGTGACTTAATCTATCAGCAGCTTTCAGTGTCTCTTCTTCTTCTACAGTGTTACCAACACCAAATCCCGCTCACAATGTCAGAGATGACTTTGATGTGACAGACTTTGAGAAACCTAGCGAGGCAATATTTGAATCTGGTACGTGACTATTTATAGGGTACAAACTGTTGCTGTCAAAACCTTTTTGCTGTTTAACTTGTGTATAATCTCTTTTCCACATAGAATCACTAAAACCAGATCCAACTGGTAACCCCAGAGATGTCTCAACTGTCTCTGACTTTGAGAAACCTCAAGACAAACATCTGGAACTTGGTAAAACATAAATATAGAATAAATGACGAGATAAATTGTGAAACACAAAAAAGGAAAATGATTTGTTCTTGTAGGCCCACTGCTATTTTGTGAAAACATTAACAGAGTAGAGTGTGATTTGTGAAACTTGTTTTTTTTTACTGTGCAGATCCACGAGATCCAATGCAAACCAGAGATGGCTTCAATGGTAGCAGATCCATGAAAGAAATGATCTTGAGGACTGGTAAAAATGTCACAGTGTACTTTCAGTACAAGACAGGGGCTGCTCTTGAATATCTCCAAAAATGTTTGAAACTGTACCTTTTGAAGCTGACTAACATCTAAAACATGCCGGGCAGTGGCCCATTGCTGTAGATGGGAGGGAAACAGCTGTTTACAGGGCATAACTGTAACTAGTTTGCATCCCTTCTATGTTATCATGAGCTTATTATCCTATTTTTGGGTATTCTCAAATTTTTGTGTGGATAATTGTTAGATGGATATATTATTGTGCTGTGGTTGTGACAGTCAGTCTCTCTCACAGAAAAACACCATAGTCTCTATGGAAAGCACATAAATAAAAAAAACTACATTTTGCACATTTAATATTCCAAATTATTTTGCAGATCAGCTTGAAACTAACCAAAATGGGTATTCCTACAATGAAAGCAGAGCCACAAGGAATGTCACAAAGACTCCATTTCAGTCATCAGCAGGTATGAAATACTCTGCTCAGAGCTGACATTTTGCCTTCTGTTTCAGAATTAGATTGCTTAGGAAATGGTCTGATGGACTGATAATTCACTTTGATTTTGAGCGTGCAAGGTTTACGTGTTGATGCGTTTCCACCTGCAGAATCACCAACAGCAGCTGAACACATAACGGACGCCGTCACTGTCACAGAGTCCAAGGAGCATCCACACCCGGAAAGGAACCCTGGTAAACTATTGCATTTTCTAATAGACTTTGATTGTTGTTGTTTTTTGTTTAAATCACTGATTATACCTGATTATGTGTATTCCAGTGTTAGTATTAGATCATGAAGATAAGAGCCATGACAGCTCGGATGTAACCAAAAGAGGAAACCCGACCGGGACACCAGCAACTTCACTGACAAGTACGAAAAAATGTTTTCAAACTTCATGCAAATGCATAAAGGTCTCCATAGATTCATCAGTGTGCTCTTTTATATTTTATGAGCAGGAGTGGTTTATGAAATGTTCTTTTCATTTACATGTTCACCCTCTGCAGGTGTGGGCCAAAGGAGAGACGAGTTAGATCATGAAGATAACAGCATGGATGATACCAGAAGAGAGAGCCCTACAGAGACACCAGCAGCTGTACTGACAAGTGAGAAACATATTTCTGACTTAGTGATATCATAAAGCTCCATATACCTTCACCAGTGTGTTATCTTCTATATTTCCCAGTCACCACAGTGGAGTTTCTGTTTCTCTTTTCATTTTAGCTTCACTCTTTGCAGATGTGGGTGAAAGGAGAAACTCTTTACATGTTGGTGAAGGCACTGGAGATAAACCAGAGAAAAGTGGTGAGAAACTGCCTGCAGCTGTGTTACTGTAGTTGTTGACTTTTTCATATCTCTGTTAATTTCCCTATTTCGCTTCACAATTACTTGGTAGAGCTAATCATCATTAACTCAAAGCACAAAAATAACATATTTTTCCCAATTTTTTGAGAATACTATTTTTCCTGTTTTAAATTAAGCAGTTCTCCTCTAGGACTTTATTGATGTGTTGAACCTTGGAAACACCTAAAACATGCAGGGCACAGGTCTCTGAGAAATTTGGATGAGAAACTCTGCTCTAAACAGTTGTTTTGTTTAGTTTTCCTAATTCACAGAAAAATAAATCAAACTAGAAATTATAGATATCTGAAGGGTGATGATAACTTGGAAATTTAGCCCTCATATTATATGTGTGGAGTATTGAAATTTACTGGCACACTAATTCAGTGTGCATGCCAGACCATAAAAGCTGAATCTTATCTTTCTATTCTTAGAATCATTAGCTCCACAGTCAACTGAGGACACCAGAGATGGTTTGAATTTTACCGAGCCTGAGAAACATCCTAACAGAAAGACTGAACCTGGTAAACCATTAAAACCTCGGGGGAAAATCCTATTTTAAAAACCTTAAAAGGAAAAAAAAAATCATATTAACTTAATTCTACTCTA